TTTCCCCATATCCTCCTCTAGTTCCCATGTCGAGTCACCTAAGTTAACATCCCGCAATAATTTCACAACACTAATCTGCCTATCTCTAAGTTGCTTGGTTCGGTGATCAGTGATTCTAACCGGTATGACTTTGCTAGATAGGTCCTCTTTGACCTGTACTTCACTGACTTCCTACACATGGAAAGGATCAATAACATACTTCCGCAATTGTGATACACAAAAGACATTATGCAGATTGACTAGTTGTGGAGACAAATCAACTACATTGGCTACTTGGTCAATTCTTCTGAGAATCTGGTATGGTTCAATAAAATTAGGAGAAAGTTTCTTGGACCTGATGACTCTCCTTGTACTTATAACCAGAGGCGAAACCAAAAAATTAGTTTTAGGGGGACCAATTTAAATAAATAATTTTGACGGGGGGGGGGGGTCATAATATATTTTCTTAATAAAATTTTAAAAGATTTTTTTTTATCAGTGGCCCCGCCAATCCCCCCTCCTTCCGCCACTGCTTATAACGACCATCACTCTCAGAAATACATGATCCCCAACATCAAACTCTAAAGGTCACCTTCTCTAATTTGCATATGGTTTTTGTTTGCTTTGCGAAACTTTCATATATTCTCTTGTATATGATGACTTATTAGTCATCTACTGAAGTAACTCAGGTCCTATTAACACAACTTCACCATCCTAATACCAACAAAGAACGATCATGCACTTCTTCCCATATAAGGCTCACAAGGCGTCATTCCAATGCTAGCATGAAAACTATTATTTTAGGTAACTCCACCAGTATCTCATCTCAACTCCCTAAGTGATCCAAAACACAAATCATTAAAGGACTTGATCGTTCTGCAGACTATGTAAGAATGTGAGAAGAGAAGTCCCATATCAGGAAAATTATATGTTGATACTTACTTTTCCTGTTATAAAAGGAGTACAATGTCTACCTTGTAAATCACCTAAATCTCTTCTTTCTCATTTCTACTAGTGCATTATATAATAGTTGAATTCTCTTATTTCTGAGAGATAATATTATTATTTTTTTCTCCTTATATTTAAAGAGGGTATTGTAATTTCTTTTAGCAGTAAAATTCGATTATTCACTACAAAAAAAAGAGCCTATTATCTACGACAAAAATCAGAATTTACCTACGGATTGTAATCCGTAATGCACTCGCTTGACCAAAATATTTTTATTTACAAGTTTGAATTATTATTAGATTAAGAGAATTATCACTAACAGGAATAGTAGTTGAATTCTCTTATTTTTGAGAGAGAATATTATTATTGTTTTCTCCTTATATTTAAAGAGGGTATTGTAATTTCTTTTGATAGTAAAATTATATTATTCACTACAAAAAAGAGCCTATTATCTACGACCAAAATCAGAATTTACCTACGAATTACAATTCGTAGGTCGCTTGAACAAAAAAAATTTATTTAAAAGTTTGAATTATATTTAAATTAAGAGAATTATCACTAACAAGAATTGAACGCAATACCTTAGAGTTAGGTGTCGATATTCCAACCACTAAACTATTAAGATATTCTAATAATAATTTACAAATAAATTATATTTATATTTATCCGTGTAAATATATAAATATAAAATATATAAATACAAATATATTTATATATTTATATATTTATATATTTATATATTTATATATTTATATATTTATATATTTATATCTTTATATCTTTAAATAGTTATATATTTATATCTTTATATATTTATATATTTACATGGATATACATTTATTTGTAAATAAATATAACTTATTTGTAAGTTATTAAAAAAAATCTTAGTAGTTTAGTGGTTAGAGTATTGGTCTCTAATTCTAAGTTATTGGGTTTGAATCTTGTCAATTACAATTCTTCTAATTTGATATAATTTTTTATAGTGATTCCCTATTGTCGTTTTTGTTTATCTTTTCTCATCTTTTATTTTAGTTGTGAGTTCTTATGCAGTTACTCTTAGAGTTGTTTTTCTTTTATTTTCAAGAGAGGGTATTATTGTGTTCTTCCTTGGAGGTAGAGAGATAAAAATTGTAATTTTTTTCATTAGTGGAATTACCCTTTTGTTAGTATTTTCCTCATCTTTTAATTTTAGTTGTATGTACTTATTATTTATGATATTATTCTTAGTATGCTATGTGGTTACGGTTAATATGATCTTTCACATCAGAAAAAGTTATTTTAGTTACTAGATATAAAGTATGGTAATGTGACAATGCATGTGTTAGGAAAAGTTATGGCAAGGAAATATTTGGTATTTAAGTGTGTCGATTAGTGACTCACCTCTCTTTCCTAGGAGCTTATCTGGTGTACTTTCCAGTAGGTAATACTATTTACAATGAAAGGTGCATAAGTCGGTTAAAATCATAACAACAAAATATGAGATATAGAAGTTTAATGAGAACAATTTCTCATTGTGGAAACTGAAGATGAAGATAGTTTTGAGAAAAGACAATTGTGTAGAAGCAATTGAGAAAAGGTCGTGGGCATCATAAATCTTCAAGTGGAAGATTATGAGAAGAGAAGATTATCAGAAATTTTATTTTGATGCTTAGTGCTTGAGAGATAAAATTAGAGAGAAAAATAATTTCTCATTTTAAGGTTCTTTTAGAGTTTTTTTCTCTCCTGTTGTAGTGCTTGGGAGATAAAATAAGAAAGAAAAATAATTTCTCGTTTTAAGGTTATCTTATAGTTGTTTTTCTTTTATTTTCAAGAGAGAGTATTATTGTTTCGTCCTTGGAGGTAGAGAGAGAAAAATTGTAATTTTTTTTATTAGTGGAATTACCCTTTTAGCTATTGTTGGTGTTTTTCTCATCTTTTTATTTTAGTTGTGTATGTTTATACTTTTTGTCTTATACCTAACAGACTAACTATCTGTCTATAGGGATGACCAAACAGGTTAGGTCCAGTGGACCGGCCTGCCAGCCCACTATAATATGGCAGGGCGAGTTGACATTTTCAACCTGCCCTACCAACCCGTGGAATGAGGCAGATTGCAATACAGTTAATCATATAGACAATATATAAAGTTAAAAATTGTAAAAAGAGAATTAAAAATACTCTCACTCTCACTTATTATAAGAAACATTATCTTACTCAAACACAAACTCCTACCTCCTCTTTTCCTTGTTACTTATAATCTCCTCCTTATTCATCATAAACATTGTTCTTATTCTTATTATTTAAATTAAAGGTGTAAGAATTATTCAAAAAAGAATAATGTGAAGTTTTATCAAATAAAACATATATAAGTATTTGAAATTTTCAATATAAAAAAATATAAATTTTACAAATTTATTTATATATTTGTTATTATTTATTATTATATAAATTTTATTATTGTTATAAATTACAATTTCTTAAAATAATGTATTGATTTATATTATTAACTTGAAATATATATGTTGAATTATTGACAATGATAATCTTATTATTAAAAAAATTAATATAAAAAAATAAATTAATATTTTTAAAAATTATGGTGGACTAAATTCCACTAACCCATACTTTAGTAGGGTGAACCAAAATTTATAGTTTGTCATAATTATAATAGGTCATCCACATGTCATTTTCTTTTTTAAATCAAAATAGGACTGATTGATTCATTTTACCATCCGTCTGTATAAGGATAATATGCACGACTAAATCTCTATCAATTCTCTAATATTTATTAAAACCTATAAATAAATCTTAGATGTCTCGTGAGACATATTACTCAAAGGTATTCTATACCATCTTATTACCTCTATTACATACTTCAATAACACTTTTATTTAAATATATTATAAAAATTTAATTATATATATATAAAATTTAACTTGGATTTTGTTATTTGAATTAAATTGTTAAAATGAAATATTAATATAAAATCATCTTATTAGAAAAAAATGATTTAAGAATAATTTTCTATTTAACTTTATATTAATTTTATAAATATAAATTTAAATATAATTAATTATATGCTTAGGTCTAATTAATAGTAAATTTAATTAGAAAGATAATGTTTTTAATATATGAATGCATATATTTATTTTTTAATATATTTATATATACATATTTTTACAATTATTTAGAATTAATTATTTAGAGTTATAAAATAATGATCTAATATTTAATTATATTTTAATTTTTAGTATTTATTCATCTTTGTTAAATTGTAGTTAAAGATATTTTTGATAATTTAATATAGTTTTTAATTAATTTTATACTTCCTATTAAGTCAAATAATTAAACTAATTATAATTTTTCTTATCTATTTATCATTACCTATCACTTTATTTGTTTCAATTTAAATATTCATATTTTCATTAATTTGTTACCTTTTAAATTTCTTTAGATTCACCTTTTAATCTAAACAAAAATTAGATTTTAATTTTAAAATCATATAAAATATTGAAAAATAAAAGTAACTATTACTTATTTTCACTTTTTATATTAATTATAAAGAAATTTGAATTTAATATTAATATGCACTCATTTGAACCATATATATCTTGTCACTTTTACTTTATTTATATATATATATATAAAATAATATTAAATATTATTATTTTATTTTATAAATAATAATTTATTAACATTAAATATTAATTTAAATTTTTAAAATATACTAATAATTTAAATTTATATATAATAAAAATATTAATTAATATTACATCATATTTTATTATTAAAATATGATTAATTATTAAAAAATTATAATACTTTATATTAAATAAACGAAAAAGAAGAGATTCTTCTTTTTCACATAGCCCACTCTCGCGAGTTTGATGATCAAATCATACTCGCTCATCCTATCATTCTTTCTTTCATTTCTTCTCATCTTATTCCTTCCTTTTCACAATAATTATGAAAACAAAACCAAACTTGAGTTGGTCTTGTAATCAAACGGTTCAACACAGGACACGTGTAGTTTTTATGTACCAAACTTATGTGTCCTTTACCGTTTGATTTCTTTGTTAACAGAGAGTGGAGTAATGAAAGAAATGCGCGAGTGGGTGAAAGTTTTCTCATGTTCATTGATGATGGTGTATTCAGAAACCTGACTCAATCTGCTCTTTAAAATCCTCTCTGTCTTCTTTCTCTCTGGATGCACAGGATAGATTTTCTTCTATCTTCAAGAAGAATGGTATCAAATTCTCTCTTTTTCTTTCCTAGTTTGATTTTGTGTTAGTTAGTACCAGATTGAATTTGTTTGTACGCTTTTGGTTTCTTTTTTGTTTGCTGTGTGCAGAGCTGAATCTTGTTTTGACGATTTTGTGTTGCTTGTTTTGTGCAGAGGTGAAACTGTGGAAGTGCATTCTGGGCTCTGCATTTTCGGACAGGTGGTGATTCTGTAATTGAATCGATGATTAAACATATTTTTTAGGGTTTGACATTTTTTTCCTTGCTGTGTGTTTGTTTAAGCTTAGTTAAGACGACTAATTCTTTCCTTTGCTAAGTGGGTGCTTTGCATGTAGTAAACTGGTGAAATTTGCTAAGCCTGTTTTTTCAGAGAGTTCGATTATTATGTTCTTCTTTTATGGTTACTAAGATCCAGTGTCTTCAAAATGTGGTATTTTTTTCTTTATAGACCACGGGATTCCTCCACTGAAATCGATTGTATCTGAGGCCGGTGAGATCATTATTACTTTGAGTGACAAAGTTTTTCCTTTGAGTATTTAACTAAATGTGGTATAGGTTTGAAAATGTTGCCTTTGAAATATTTAGAGGGTAACCATTGCTTTTTGGTTCATGCTATTGAGGACTTAAGAAGAAATGGGTTCTGAAAGATATTCAAAAGCGTCCACCCTGATTGTATGTGTGATCCTTAGGTTTACAGAAACTATACAGAAGCTCTTCCAGCTGACCACTTCTGGCTCAGGCAGCTGTAAATAACAACTAACAGAATACAACTGATAGAAAGAGTTATTACACTAATTCTCTTACTTCTATGCTTTGGCAGCTAAAATATCTGAATTCTGCAAAGCTGAGAGATTGAAGATGGTATGTTTTACTTGTCAAGTTTAAAATCACATTCATGAGTGAGCATATCTTTGTGAGCATATGTGGTTCTAAATATTTTTCTTTCTCACTTTTTCTTGCTACTTAGGTTTTACTTTTCTTCTTGAACAATTATTGTAGGGAGGAGATGATTCTGGTATGGAGAGTGATAATTTTGATTGGAACACTGAAGATGAGCTTGAAATTGAGAACTATCAGTCTTCATCTTCATGTTTAACTGTTCCTAATGGAGATGCTGTCACTGGGTCTGGAGAGGTAGGCTGTATTAGACGTTTCTCATTCTACATGATAACCAGCTGCTATCAATGTTAAACCAAAATGATAAGCTGAGCTTACAGGTCAATGGGGAAAAACTAATCTTGAGAATTGAAATTGAATACTATTTATTTTCATGTATAATATTTATTTACAGCTTAGATTTTGTGAAATTCATGCTCGTATCAAATTTCACATTATGTCTTTTGATCTATGACATCAATCTCACTTAGTTGGAAAGCGCTTGGTCATTGTTGTGTATGTTGCTCATTTCATCGTAGCTAATTCTTCACGAATAAATTTTCTTCTTTTCTATTGGTATTATGTGGACTTATTTAGTAATTTTGCATTCCCTCCTCTATTTGGGTAACCTTAATGTATCTGATTCTATATTCTAAGGCTACTGTGGCATGTGGAATATGGTAATTAGAAGATTTTAACTTTATTTTCAACTATCACAAACTGTTACCTTTCTTTTGGTACTGTCAATTCCTCTACACAACAAAATATGTAAGATTCTTTGCATTTTCTTTTTTTACAAGATCTCTGTCTGCTATCAGTAAAGGGATTCTGATTGGGGGTATTATATGGTGCTTAGTCATGTGTAGAGTAGTATGAAATGTTTGATGCAAAGTGTTCGTTTCTCTTCCTTTAACAGCTAGCTCTTAAGGGACGGTTCCCCAAGTGTTTAGGTGCTTATCAAATTATTTTCATTTTCTCTGTTAGATGGTTTTTCCAATTACCCATTCATTTGAGCATTTTAAACCCAATGAAAAAAAATACATTATTGAGAAATATGCATGAAGAAATAACACTGCTCAAAGGAAATAGAATTTTTAGCTACTAATGTCTATTCTCTCCCTCTTAAGGCAAGCTCATCTGCAGTTTCAGCTAATTCCAAGTTATTTAGCCACTTCATTGGCATGGGATTTTCGAGAGAAATGGTTTCTAAAGTAATTCAGGAATATGGTAAAAGCATTGCTTCACTCTATTTAAGTATAGATTTCACTCACAAAGTTCACAAATAATATTGCCTGATGAACTTCCAGGTGAGGTAAACGAAGATAAACTACTTGAAGAACTTCTCACATACAAGGTGAGTTGATATTTTACAAGTCTTGAGCGTCATGAACTTGTCACTTTGATCTGTTTTATGAGCAATTTCTTTACTGTATTTATCCCTCCTTGTATTTGCTAAGTTAATGAGCAGTTCCATTTCCATATTGTGGAGTTGTTAGCATCTTGCAATCTACGTAAATGAATTGTGAAGCATTGCTGGTTTTCATTGGTAGTTAATATTTTTCATCCTGTCTAATCTGAAGAGAGTGAGCCGTGTAGCAATGTAAGCTTGCTGTCTACTGACTGGTAGGTGACAAGTTCTAATTTTGAAATCAGTTTCAGTGTGTAAGGGTAAGGTTTTGCATAGTTTTTAGTAGTGGCCAAAATGCAGCTTTCCTTGTGCTATTTCTTATAGCGGGGATCCTTCAGAAACCCATTTTTATCCCTGGAACAGTTGTTTGCTGTATTTTTAAGTAAAATATTCGAGACTAATATCTGTTTTGACCTCTTATCCTTCACATATTATAATAATGTTTTTTCATGTGCTCTGCTCTTATGGGTTTTCCTGATGACATTTTACTAATTTTTATGCAGTTTGATATTTTTCTATTAATGTCACCGTCATATTTCTTTTTTCTTTTACATCATTACAATGTTCTTAATGCTCCCAGATTGGTGATGGTTGTGTGTAAACTCTGACTTATGTTCATCTTGAATTTCTTTAACTCTGGGTATTTTCTTTTGTTTTTTGAGTATATGTATGTGCAGTATATGCTATTTAGTTTATATTATAACATTTAAAATAGCTGTAGTCCCACTTTGTGCTGTCCTTCCATATTCCTATTTGAGATGATAACTATGCAACCCTAACTAAATTTGCACATTTGTGGCAGACTTGTCATTGCAATCAATTTGCAATAAAATTTTGTTTCATGTGATGAAATGAAATTCTGAGTACTTTATTCTATAAGAAGATAGCAACTTAATTTTACTGTATGATGATTAGATATTTATTCTTCAACCTTGGTGGAAAATGCTTGCTAAAAAAGTTATCATAAATTTTTAAACACATTCCATTCACTTGTTATGATTCTTTCCAATTTCTTATTTTAATCTTTAAACAGTGTCATTAAGCATTGTTTTCAGTAAGAACATGTACTCGAAGAAGAAAAAACATATTAAAACTTATAGTTGTTAAGGATTGGAGTAAATTCTTATTGAAAGTTATTCTTCTTTCTTTGTTAGGGTTCTAGTGCTCATTCCATTGCTCAAAAATTAATTGATGATTAAAGTGTTTTATTGTATTAGTAACCTCTCTCCTACCCTTTATTTTCCTTTCTCTTTTAGAAGAGGATATTTTTTTAAAGAACTTCTTCCTTGTAATATAAGTTTCTTTTTAAATGGGTTGTGGGACTGTGTTGCCAAGAAACTCTGCAAATGATTGCAGTTTTGCATCTCCTAATTTTCTCTTGACTCGAGTTGCACAAGATAGGATGGGGGTAAATGAGCAGCTTGACCATCCTATAAATGACAATATTATTATACCAACCTCAACGAGTGATCTGTGTGGTTCTTTTGTGCATATAATTTTCTCCTTTTTTAACCCTTCAACTCTTGCATTGTTTTTTGTTTTGTGACTTCTTTAGATTTCTATCTACATCTTTAATACATCATTTCAATACTATAAGATTTTATCTCCATGTTACAGTTGTGTTGTTTTTTTGTTTTCATATTTGCAGGCTCTAGAAAGTTCTCCCCAGCCACAGCTGCAAATTGAGCCAGATCATGGTTCTTCAGCAAATGCGGGGAGCTCTTGGGATGATTTGTCAGATACTGATATCTTTTCTGATGATGAAGTAATCTCTGCACTGTGATTTGATATTTGTCTTTTGGAGTTTATATGGTTTGATTCATCTTGTTTTTTTTTGTCCTTTGTATCATCTACTTACATTGTTTCTGCTAGTTCTACACGACATGCAATTTGACATGAGACAGATTAGGATGGTTTATGTTGGACTTGTACAATTTCATTTCCTAATTCAAATGAATTGTCATAATGCTTCCACTTGATTTTATGAACATTTATGGAGGGATGTCTATGATTGCTTATAGATACAAGTAGCTTATCTTATTTGATATTTTTGCAGGTGATTGCAAAAACTTCTTCTGAGAACAATGATACCTTACGGACTTTGATGAAAATGGGGTACCAGCAGGAGGAGGCTTTAATTGCCATAGAAAGATTAGGTGCGTTTTGCATGATCCATTAGTACGTTTGTGTGAGTTTAGGATTTATGGTTTAGGGTTTATGATTAGCTGCGTTTTGCATGATCCATTAGCATGTTATTTTGCAAAACTGAGATAACTATTTTATTTTACTTTTGCTTGTTGTATGATGCACTCACTATCTTCAATTGATTTTGAGCACCTTGGTATGTGTCCATTGAGCGGTTGAACTATTAGACAGAGAAATGTTTATTTGTTTTCTAGGAGGTTTACGAATTGATGTTCTAATTGTTGTCAGTTGTTGGATATTGTATAAGTTGATATCCTAGTTAAAAGTATCCATGAAAGGTTTTCCTGGACAAACACTTCATACTATAATTCCCAAAGAGGGCGGGAGGAAGGGGTAGCTTGGAACATATAAACTAAATCCTAGGTTCCTCTTATAGATTTAATTAGAATGTCTGAGAGTGAGAGTTGGTCATTAGAACTGACAACTTCGGTAATAACATCCTTTGACAACAACTTCTCCCCAACGAAGTAACATTCAATCTCTATATACTTGGTCTTCTCATGAAACACTGGATTAGAGCCAATATGAAGAGTTTCATGATTGTCACAATACAACTTCATTTGCTCATCTTCACAAAACTTTGCTTCTGCATTGGATTAAACAACAACATATTGTTTCTTACTCTTCTAAGAAATAATAGTCCCTTTAATGAATACGCAATATCCTATGGTAGATCTTGTGTAAATAGGACAACTAGCCCAATTTGCATTATAAGACCAATAAATGTCCTCTGATAGCAATCCCTGTCTTGAGCCTTTTTTACATATTTGAGAATGTGAATCATAACATTCTAGTGATCAATGTGATGATTCTACTTGAGTTGACTAATAACTTCAACTGCATAAGAAAGATCAAGTCTTGTAATTGTGAGATAAATGAATTTTTCCACCAACCTCCTATATCTCTTTATATCTAAGAAAATTTCACCTTAATTTTTGCTTGATCCATAGGATTATCGATGGGCTTGGAATTTGCCAATCCAATTTCCTCCAAAATATTAAGAGCATATTTTCATCATGAAATGATAATATATTCCTTTGTTTGAGTCATTTCAATACTAAGAAAATATTTTGGATAACCAAGGTCTTTGGACTAAATGTGGCTTAATATGTTCTTTTTTAATTGAGTGATCCTAGTTGTATAGTTTTCTAAAATAACTAGTGTGACAACAAAATATTGAATGATCAACCTCACTTCATTTTATTGAAAAATTTGCTTAGTATGACCAATTTACCAAACCATGCTCGTGGTGATTGCTTCAAGTTATAGAGAAATTGGTGTAATTGACAGACTATACTAGACTTTCCTAGTGCAACAAATCTAGGAGGTTGTCTTGTGTAAATGTCCTCATCAAGGTCATCGTGAAGAATAATAGTTTAAATGTCAAGTTGGTGGAGTGACCATGACAAATACTATATGTTCCATCTAGGAATGAGAGTGTCTCGACCTCATGTCCGTTATGATATTATCGTTAGGGTCAATTACGACATTCAAGGTACTGTTTGCTTTGGAACTTTAGTTCGTCATGGTTTTGTCCTTAAACGGTGTCTTAGTGGGTTGAGAGAAAGTTGTAAATAAGTTATCCTTGGTCTTGACTCCTAAGTGATGTGAGATTCATGAGTATGCAAAAACATAGTCCTCAGGCAAGGACTAAGGGATAGAATTGGAGCGAGACTTTGTTCTCGGGCCCACGATGGACGTTAATGTTCCATCTAGGAACGAGAGTGTCATGGTCTTATGTCTATTATGATAGTATTGTTAGGGTCCATTATTATGTTCGAGGTGTTGTTTGCTTTGGAATTCTAGTTTGTCACGGTTGTGTGTTTAAAATGTGTCTCGGTGAATTGAGAAAGGAGAATGTATATAAATTACCCTTGATCTTGGCTCATAAGCGATATAGAACTCATGAGCGTGCCAGAATATAGTCCCCCAATTACCCTAGACATGTGGTGCTTGCTCACCCAACCATTGTGTTGCTGTTATCATTATCACTTTTGCTCCATCCCTCAACGTCAAACCCAAAAGAATCGCTAGAGAGAAACCAAGAGGAGAGTGAAAGAGATCTAACTCTCCCTTTTGCTTGATGTTGTTTCCTCCTTTTATGACCATGATGATGGTGGAGATGTTTGATGTGTTGCTGCTTGTGCCGTAGCCAACTCCACTTCTCACATCAATAGAATAGTGCTCTGATTTTGCCAAATTGCATTGAAACTTGTTGTCGAAAGTTCCTCCATCAACCACGGCATCGTGGAGATGTAGCCTAGAGTTCCTAGATGGAACCATGGCAAGGAAGGGCCAAACAATGCAATTCTTAGCCATGGGTGAAAGAGTATCATAGTAGTTGAGTTGAGGCCATAAAACGAAGTATATTCATTGGCTACTAAGCGAGTTTGGAGACAATCTATTTCATCACTAGGAGGAACAACCATAATTGGATGAACTCATCTACAACCACTAGTCTTCTTTCCAAGAAAAAAAAGAGATAAGCTCCCGAGTACCATTGTGCTGAGGAGTTAACATTCATTAATCATGGCTTGTTGCTATCGATCAAGTGTCTCAAAGGAACTGTAGTTGTGGACATAGAGAAAACAACAGAGGAGTTTGAAGTATATAAATGATGATAACTTAAAACATTATACATAGGATAAGGATTACAAGTAGATAAAATACCTTTCTTAAGACTAATAGGTTTAATCATAATTAGATTTAGAAGACAATGAGGATGAAGAATCCATGTTATGGAAATCTAGTGGAGGAGGATTTGAATTGTGAGGATCTATAGGCAAAGATAAAGGAGTTGTTGATATGTGAGAAGAGGTAGTGGATCAATATCATCTGCACTGAGTTTGAGCTGATCCCATGATGCTACATGAATAGCGTTTTGAATAGATGTAGAATTTTCCATGGAGGATGATAAAACTGATGTTTTCCAATGTCCAGTTAGAGACACATTCATGTCAGTTTGGAACTATCGTTATTGTGGTTAATAGATGATGAAAATCTTTTTATCTATAATCACCCTGTGAATATACTGCAATTACTTTTAGTCAAACCAATAAAATAATGAAATGAAGTTAGTTGCTAACACTATAATCAGGATTTACACGGAGAAGTAACATCTGTAGGTAATGTGTTATATATAATAATGTCTAAAGAATGCCACTATACCCAACAGTGATTTGCAGAAGTGATTCGGCACAGAGTTTGATCCTTAGTTGGGGGATGGAGTCAGAATTGGAAGTATCACTTTACCCTAAAAATATGTTGATTTGGTGGATAAGGGACTATATCTACTGATTATACAAAAAAAATTGCCACTGTTTCTGAATATTGGTCAAGTTTCTATAATAAGTTAATAGAACTTAAATTTTGCTATCCTGCCAAATATCCGATTTAATCAAATTGACATGGTCGACCACAGTAATAACAGGCTCATAGCCTGACATGGCCTCTTGTTTGTGTTCACAAGTTTACATAGTGTCTGGCTGATTTTCTTGGCTCATTTTTCCTAATGAAATACTGTAGGCCAAAATTCTTCACTTGAAGAATTGGTAGATTTTATAGGTGTTGCTCAACTAGCAAAGGCTGAAGATGCCCTTTTACCTCCTGAAGAAAAGGTAGCAATGTAGAATTTCGTCTTATTGGTATTGTGGGATGAATAAAATTGAAATTTAATGCAGAATTATTCGATATTATTTTTGCAGCTTCGATACAATGACTATGCCAAGTCCAATAAACGAAGATTTTATGATTATGAAGTGTTGGGAAGGAAAAAGTCCAAGGGATGTGAGAAGAAAGTTGTCAATGAAGATGATGAGGAAGCTCTTCATCTTCCAAACCCAATGATTGGGTTTGGTGTACCTACAGAGTCAAGCTTCATAACACGCAGAAGGATTCCAGAAGATGCCATTGGACCTCCTTACTTCTATTATGAGAATGTGGCCTTAGCACCAAAAGGTGTTTGGCAAACAATTTCTAGATTTTTGTATGATGTGGAGCCAGAATTTGTCGATTCAAAGTTTTTCTGTGCGGCAGCCAGGAAAAGAGGCTATATTCACAATCTTCCCATCGAAAATAGGTTCCCGCTTTTACCACTTCCACCTCGCACAATACATGAGGCTTTCCCCCTAACAAGGAAGTGGTGGCCCTCGTGGGACACAAGGACCAAACTTAATTGTTTGCAAACATGTATTGGCAGTGCAAAACTTACAGAAAGAATTAGAAAAGCTGTAGAAAACTATGATGAAAATCCACCTGAGCATGTCCAAAAGTATGTTCTTGATCAATGTCGGAAATGGAATCTGGTTTGGGTTGGAAGGAATAAAGTTGCTCCTCTTGAGCCTGATGAAGTAGAAACACTGTTGGGCTTCCCAAGGAACCACACCAGGGGAGGTGGAATAAGTAGGACTGACAGATACAAGTCACTTGGCAATTCGTTCCAGGTATGATAATTCTTATTCTCGTAATAATGAAACCTCCATAAAGATCTTTCTTGATGTGTTTACTGTCATAAAGAAATATTGGTTGCAACTGCAGGTGTTTTCGTTTCTGTGGAACTTTCTAATGGATTATGTGAAACTAGTGGTTATTGCATATATGTTTCCATGCAAATTTCTCTTTGTTTATTGTTTCAGTGCATTTCAGGTTGACACTGTGGCATACCACTTGTCAGTTCTGAAGGAGATGTATCCTAAGGGTATCAATCTTCTTTCTCTCTTTTCTGGAATTGGTGGGGCAGAGGTAGCTCTTCATAGGCTTGGCATCCCTCTCAAGAATGTCGTGTCTGTTGAAAAATCAGAAGTGAATAGGAATATTGTTAGAAGTTGGTGGGAGCAAACAAATCAGAAAGGTCATTTATATGATATGGATGATGTAAGAGAACTAGATGGTGATCGTTTGGAGCAGCTGATGAGCACCTTTGGGGGTTTTGATCTCATTGTTGGTGGCAGTCCATGTAATAACCTGGCTGGTAGCAACAGGGTCAGCAGGGATGGACTAGAGGGAAAAGAATCCTCTCTGTTCTTTGATTACTTTCGGATTCTAGATTTGGTCAAAAATTTGTCGGCCAAGTATCGATGATATTTGTCTCCATCTCCGGTTCTGTATTTAACCCAAACTTTTAGGACCTTGGTATATAACCTGAAATATTAGAGACGGCCACTTTTCTCACCCCATTTTTGTTGCCAAAGAAAGGGCAACACTTTCAAATAAAAAGAATCGTCTTAAAATTTCTGATTTCAGGCTACTATTTTATCAATACCCACGTGGGTTCAGAACGAAATGATTCCTGGAATGTTTCTTTTTTCTAATTTTCCATTTATGAATCATGACTGTTTTTAGCATGGGTTTCACCAGTTATTTAATTGGTTTGTTGTTGGTATTTGACCCAAAAAATATCTATTCTGCCTGTAGTTGTTTGGCAAGAGCGAGATTAATCTTGTCTGTGTCGTCTCTTTTGCATGGAGAGTGAGTTTCTTGTGAAATCAATTTGTCTTTGTGAAAAGGGAAGTTTTGAAGCGCAAAATTTAATTAAAAAAAGTGAATGTCAATGAATAATTCATATATATTTATTAAATTAATTGTGCAAACAATTTTTTGGAATACTTTGTCATGACATTATCTTTGTGGAACTTGAACTCCACATCATCTTTTGATGATGTCACGAAGATAACTTCTGAATTAGGATGTAACAGACCAAGGTTAATAACTAGGGATAGCAAACGGGATGGCTGGATTCGATATACGTTACCACAAGTTATAGATTTTTTTTTAAATTATTTTTTTTAATAAATTTAATAATAAAATTATTATTTATTAATCAAAGATTAAATATATATATATATATATTGTTTAAAATTAATAATATAAATTGACATATTATATTAACAAATTATAGTTTATAACAATTAAATTCAGATAAATTTTATATAATAATAAATAATTTATAAAATTTTCATTTTTTATATTAAAAAATCAAACCTCTAAAATAAAAATTATATTATTTTTTATTTTGATAAGAGTTTAAGTTATTTTTTTCTTTTAAATAATTTTTACATTTTTCATTTAAGTCATAAAAATAAAAAAATTCTCACAATGAGGAAAATGAGCAAGAAAAAGATAATGAACAATAAAAAATAATTTTTTGTTTGAGAGAGGAAATTAATTTTTAAAATGAGTAAGTGAAAATGAAACTTAAAATTTTTTTTTTCACAAATTTTCACCTTATATATATTATTTCTATATCTTATTGTATTATAATAAAAATAACACTAATCAATTAGAGAAGACGGACCAACTCATTAAACTTGACCTTATTTCTTAGTAATAACTTTTATATTAAATATGAATTAGTAACCTAAACTTGACTCTACATCCTTCATTAAGAAATTTTATTTTAAAAAATCAATTTGTTAACTTTTTACTGCATAATCAACAAAATTAACTTTGGTTAACTCTTTGAAATTTCATGAAAAACTTAATCAATAGTAAAAATTCGTACACTCGTATTAATCTGTAAATAGCACAATTCAATCAAATAATACCCAAAATCACAAATGGAATTCATCTCCACAATTTTTCAATAGTTAACTCTAAGTCAACTTTTACATGTATTCTCTTACACACTTACTTCATTCACCCACCTCTATGGAAATGGGTTTCACTTTCCTTCAAAATATATGCTATTTTATGATGCTCTTGAACTTGTGGTACTACATCTTTGACAATGCCTTACATGACAAAGGGAAACTTACTCTCTTGTTACAAGGGGAGATGCTGTTAAATTGTAATGTGTTTCTATGAAGCTAACCAACTAAATGTTGGATTGAACTTGAGTTGTGACGTTTGTTGGACTTTGGAAACATTATTTCTTGAATCATTCTTTGTACTTTACATAGAGAAATTTATGGACTTCAGAAAAAATTAGGCACACCTTAGACACAATACTAACTATGCTAGTTAAATGACGAGCTAAAATTGGCGTAACTTTTGTAGCTAGGGTTTTTAACATGAGTGATTATTTTTGGTTGTATTTATTTTTCCTTGATACTTGAATGTGTTGTGAGTAAATAACCACTAGATAGATTCACTTCAAATTTAAAATTTCCATATTTATGTATGGATTTTAAATTTTACATGAGTTTTTGGTGATGATATGATAAAATAAATTATCTGTCCCTTATCTATCATTATTTTAGGGAAAAAACTAAAAAAGAGAGCTTATTTAGTTGTATTTTTTTATTTTTAAAAGTAGTTTAACAAATCAATTTTTATGTTTTTAAATAAAAAATAGCTAACTCTAATGTTGGAAAAAAATGATATTTACCACAAAAAATTATAAAAAATTTCATGATAATTTTGATAATTTTATAATAATAAAGAAAGTTGATATATTTTATCACTTATATTTAAAAAATTATTTTATAAAAAAAATTATCAAATAAAATCCTTAATTTAAAAAAATTTTAAATTGATTATAAAAATAATAAAAAGATAAATCCTAAAATTATGAATTTCAACATTTTAATGTCAAACAAATAGGAGGACAAATTACTAAGTAAACTTAAAATAAATTATTCATAATTATTGTTGAATAATTAGACTTAAATCTCATTTTGGTTTTCCTTGAAATCAAGTGATGTTAGGGATACACAAATATTAAAATTGTTTTTAAATAGCTTTTTGAATTAATTATAAAATTATATTACTTCTAAGTAATTAACAGGTTACGAGCTACGCTTTTACTTGTATTTTTTGAAGTATTATAATTGAACTAAGAGTTTTTTTTCTATTGAATTTTGATATTTTAGGAATAACTAAAAATTGAAATTATTGAAGTATAATTGAATTAAGAGCTTTATTTTTCCATGAATTTGGATATTTTAGGAATAATTAAAAATTGAAGAAAAGGTTCATAAAAAAGTTTAATGGATTTATTTACTCAAGTTAATCCGCATTTTAATATATATTTCTCTAGAATTTTTCATATTAAGTATATAAAATAAGAAGATTTTAAATGGATTATTGTTATCGTTACATTATAACTGAATTACACAAAGATACGCAGGAATTAATTGCCTTCACCACACGATCTTACAAAACTTCCAACGAGAGCCAACTTGGTCGTTCATCCCACTTAACCATGGTCAAGAGTTACAGTTCAAATCCCTAACCATGGTCACAGGCCAAACCTAACATTAACCCAATCCCTTCACTTTCCCTGATTCGTATAAATAACCATTTCCATATCTTCCACTTCCCTCCCTCCTTTCACCTTCGTTGCATTTTCTAAGCGCCGTGAGGCTCTGCGACCCGAAACCCGAACCCGAATTTCGGTTCTCAAATCTCAGAGAGAGACCGACGTAGGTCGCGGAATCTACGGCCAATTATCGCTCTTCAATCGGTATACCAAGATTCGATTCCTTTCGTTGTTATTATTTTTTTTTCACTTACAATTTTCTAGGTCAATTTCGTGCTTGCTTGCAGCATTCCGAAATCAACCAGATCTGAGTGTGAAATTGTAGGTTGTGCTCGTTCAGGAGCTCTGCTTGAGCTTTGATTGAACATAGGGCTTTGATTTCGGAATTGGATTTGTGCTGCATGCGATTATTTTTGCTAGATTTTGTTTTTCTGGATTCATTATGATATTTTCAGTTTCGGAGTTTTACTTTTATTTGTTACTTCCTTTAGGATTTGTTTCGGTTTCTGGTGAGAATTCTTAGCTGTAAATGGTATTTGGTGTAGACTAGGTTTTTTTTTAACTTTGTTGTGTTAAACATTCGAGATTCACTGGGATTATGAGATTTAGGTTTTCCGATGAATGTTTGATTTGGTTGATAAATTATAAATGGTATTGTGAACTTGTTAATTCAAATGTTTTCAGTTGAGGGTGTAGATTTTACTAAATGCGCGGTCACGGTTAAAGGGATTGTAATCGCTCTCATAGTTTTATTAAATTGTTGTGATATTTTAATTGGAGTTATTCCTAGCTAGTTTTATTATTATTATTATTATTATTATTATTATTATTATTATTATTATTATTATTATTATTATTATTATTATTATTATTATTATCTCGATAGGTTATTACTGATTTGTTGTATTTTGTTTTTGTGATGTTAGAATTGTATTGCGGGTTTCCCTTGCTATGGCTGCCACGGCAACTGCCTCTTCAATGGGTCCCCGGTATGCACCACCAGATCCGACCCTCCCGAAACCATGGAAGGGTCTTGTGGATGGTAAAACCGGGTATCTTTACTTTTGGAATCCTGAGACTAATGTCACCCAGTATGAGAGGCCCTCGAGCTCAGCTGCCCCGCCAAAGTCTTCTTCAGTGCCTAGCTCTTCTGTCCAGGTTCAACATATGTCTCAAGGGTCACAACGTGGTCGTAGTCCTGATTTCAGTGACAGGTATGATAGAAATGGAAATGGTGGATCAAATGAAGCTGTATCACGGAATAATCAGGTTTCAACGCCTAACTTTATTTGTTGCTTTTAACTATCTGACGTGGCTTGTGACACAAATTTTTTAATTGTAGCTAGTTACATATAGTTTTCTACCAACTGGTTCTGGTTTTGCAATGGTGATTTTAAGAAACTTTTGAATTAATTCCAAATCACTGTTTATGATATCCATACGAAGATGACTACAAGTGGGGAATGGGACGGATCTAACATGTGTCAAACTAAAACAATAAGTTCGTCAATTGAACAATTTTATTCCCTGTTTTTCTTTGCCTGGACGCCACAGCTGTTTGGGTATTACACTTGTGTAGTAAGTGAATACATTATGTTGGTAGAGGGACCAAGGAATGTGATGTTTGAAAATAAGCTTTATATTTTTCAACATTGATTGTTTGTGGGGCTAATCCTTCATGTCTTTCATCATGTATTATTAGAGTTCCAAAGGTGGAAGTTATAGTTCTCATAGTTTTCCAACTGGAACGAATGCTGCTGCCAATGTTAATTCTTCTGTCAAAGGTCATGGGGCTTCGGATGCTGGAGCTGGACTATCTCCTGAGTCTTATCGAAATCGGCATGAAATAACTGTGACTGTAAGTGCATATTTTATAGTTTCATGGCCAACAATTATGTCACATTACTCTGTCATCATGACTTATACATTTGCATCTGTATTTTTGTTACACAATTTTTTGTATTAAATATTTTTAGGTTATGTTTGGAAAATTCCATATAATTGAATGCTTTTTGCTGCTTTGGATTTTGCTCCAACTACAGTTTAAATGAGGTTCTTTCGAATTTTTCTAGGGAGACAATGTGCCGCCACCCCTTACATCATTTGGCTCTACTGGCTTTCCACCAGAGCTTCTGAGAGAGGTATCAACTTCTATTCTCTGTCGTTATTTTCTAATCTATATTCAGTAGTGGCAGTTAGGCGGAAACCCAGCTTCCATAGGTATCTGACCCAATTTTCCTTGCACAAGTCTCTGATTCCTGAAGCTTCAATTTATAAGTTTCAGGCTCATAATTATTTTGCCATCTTTACTTTTTTTTGTCGTAGGTGCGATATTTGCTCCTGGGGAGGAGCTAATGTCGTACGGTGTGGTGCCCTGTTTTGTGGGGCTAGCATTTAGTTTGGACTTTTGGAGCGCCCTTTATGGTGGACCAAGTTTTTGGAAGGGCTTTCCGAATCATCCAAGTTCGTGGCTGGGACTACTGTTGGTCATGATTCAGTCTGCCACTTGGTCTGTACGGAAGAAGAGGCCTCCTCATGCGCTACCTTGCATCAGCAAGCTTTGGTGGCTTGCATATGAGGGATGATGCTTCTTCCGGCATTAACTCCTCTATAAGTTACAAAGAAAACCAATCTCCTGGATTTTCCTTTTTTTTAGGTACAAAATGCTGGTTTCTCAGCCCCAACTCCAATTCAGGCACAGTCATGGCCCATTGCTCTTCAAAGCAGAGATATAGTTGCCATTGCAAAAACAGGCTCAGGAAAAACCTTGGGGTATTTAATTCCAGCATTTGTTCACCTCAAGCGCTGTGGTAATAACTCCAAAATGGGCCCCACTGCACTTGTACTTTCACCAACAAGGGAGTTGGCAACACAAATACAAGATGAAGCTGTGAAATTTGGGAAATCGTCAAGAATTTCTTGTGCAGTAAGTTATTGCTCTCATTTATCACATTGTTTCTGTTGTACTTTCATGCATCAGCATGAAAAACCTTTGAAAATTATTGGTGCACTCAAATTTGAGAATGTGAAACAAATATTGCTTATAGGATCGTTCTTTATTGGATTTCGTGTTGCAATGGTTCATGTGTTTTTTTCTATTATGATCTTCTGCTAACTTAAACTGTGTTATTTCATTTTATATAATTTATGTAAACATACATAATTGTGGGATTCATAATCTATGAAGCACAAACAGTTTTAGTTATAGATGTTAAGAAATGATATTTTTATAATAATATTAGTGTGCAGTTATTTCCTCATTGAAGTGTCACTTCAATTTTCAAGTTGACGAAAATGTTTTTTTATTACTTGTGTAATGAAATGGGTCATACGCATATTGGTTGTCTGAAACATGTATGACACTGACACTTTAAACTGGAATAGTTAAAGAAAACAAAATGTATGTATTTGCTGCCACATAATTACATTTTTTCTTTGCCAGTGTTTGTATGGAGGAGCACCGAAGGGTCCTCAACTCAGAGACATTGACCGGGGAGCAGATATTGTGGTAGCCACTCCTGGTCGCTTGAATGATATTCTTGAGATGAGAAGAATTAGTCTTCATCAGGTCTCTTACCTGGTGCTTGATGAAGCAGACCGGATGCTGGATATGGGTTTTGAACCTCAAATTAGGAAAATTGTGAATGAGGTGCCTAATCGTAGGCAAACACTCATGTTTACTGCAACATGGCCAAAGGAGGTTAGGAAAATTGCAGCTGATCTATTGGTCAAACCTGTCCAGGTGAACATTGGCAATGTAGATGAGCTTGTTGCTAACAAGTCCATTACTCAGGTTTGATTTCTACTACTGCTACATCTGGGTGCAATTTTTTTATTTTTTTATTTTTTATCTTTGATAACCACTTCTTTTCATTTTTATGCTATTGTCAGCATGTTGAAGTATTGCCACTAATGGAGAAACAAAGACGTCTGGAACATATTTTACGATCACAGGATCAAGGATCAAAGATAATTATTTTTTGTTCTACCAAGAAAATGTGTGATCAACTTGCTCGAAATCTGATGCGTCAGTTTGGAGCTGCTGCTATACATGGGGATAAATCCCAGGCTGAGAGGGATCATGTGTTGAATCAATTTCGCACTGGGAGGTCCCCTGTTCTTGTGGCCACAGATGTTGCTGCCCGGGGATTGGATATCAAGGACATTAGGTTGTTAATTGTTTGTTTTATTATATATTTTTCTTATTCTGAAGCGTGAAAATGTGTTCTTTACCTGCTGTAGTGAAATTTGTCTTGGAAAAGTGATCATAGTATTTGAGTATGTCGACAAATATTTTGCAGGGTGGTTGTCAATTATGACTTCCCCACAGGGGTTGAAGACTATGTTCATAGGATTGGAAGGACTGGCAGAGCAGGAGCCACTGGGCTAGCTTACACCTTCTTTGGTGACCAGGATGCTAAATATGCTTCAGATCTGATCAAAGTTTTGGAAGGTGCAAACCAGAAAGTACCTCCAGAACTTCGTGATATATCATCACGGGGTGGTGGTGGGATGGGAAGATCCAGACGATGGGGTTCTGGTGGACGAGGTGGACGTGGTGATTCTGGATATGGTGGAAGGAATAATGACTCAGGATATGGTGGAAGGGGTGACTATGCAGGATACGGTGGAAGAGGGAGTGATTCAAATTATGGAGGGAGGGCCACTGCTTCTTCTGGCAGAGGAGGGCGTGGGTTTGACTATGACTCTCATAGGTTAGTTTTATTCATAATTACTGATGTTTTATTGGTAAAATATTTCTTTAATTTACTTTGCCAGAGGATTTGGGTTTTGTAGAAGGATTCTTAATGCTGATGTGCTTGTTTTGCTGAAATGGTTACAAGTCTGTTGTTTTGATTCATAGGAATGATCGGGGTCCGAGTCCAGACAAGGGATCAAAATGGAGTGATCGCTTCAAAAGTGTCAACCGTGAACGTAGTCGTAGCCCTGACAGGGCTGCACTATCTCAACATTCCCAAAGCAGCTTTCACAAGTCCATGATGGATCGTGGTGGATGGGGGGATAGTGATCGCAATAAGAGCTCCAACCGGGATCGAAGTCGCAGTCCTAGCCCCTATAGACAGGAGAGGATCCCAACAGTTCGTGAACGATCCCCAGTTCACAGTTTTCATCGATCGATGACGGGACAAGGTCAATCATCCCCACGGCATCGTGCACGCAGTCCATACCGAAACTCGTCTCCATCTCAGGGTGGTGGTAGGTCCAATAATAATAGTCCTCCAAAAGAGTGGGGAGGGTCTTCGGGTGATGGAAAATTTGGGGGATCCCATTCGTCTTACAATGGAGAGGTGGAGGAAGGGATGATTCCAGAGGAAGAAGGAATGATAGATCAAGATGATCACATATATCGGAGTGCGGATTAGAATTTTGGCTATCATGACCATTACAAATATGTTAAGGTCGTCTTGGTCTAGTTACATTAGTGGAAGGGCATTGTTTTGCTTGAACATGGACAAATGACAAGTTAGGATCTGATAGTAAAATTCATGGCAAATGTATATTTTGAGGGGCTTTGTAGAAAGCCTGGAAATGTGGCATAGATGAACCTTGTAGCGGATATTGTGGTTTTTTGTCGTTTTGGTCAAACTCGACTTCGTATCGAGCCGGGTTCTTCGTTCTCATACAATCGGATCAAAACAGAAATTATTTAGATACTAAATTAAAATGTTGTATTTTTCCACCTAACCCAGTCTCAACATGGTATCGATGAAAGAAAGCTATCGAGTCATCTTGCTTTCTGCTTTTATTGCCTTATTCTTTAGTCTGCGGCGTGTTTTGACACAATATAAGGAAAGCAGGCATACAATTATCCAAAGGAAAACGCTTAAACTTTCTGGAGTTTTCCAGCGCTACAATAATTTACGCAAAAAACCAAGGAAGACCCGGAGGAAAATTGATTATAGCCTTACTGCCACTATCCAAAGAAAAATTACCGTCCGATTCCAGCATAAAGAGTCGGCATTTTACCATTTCCCTGAAGGATTAACATACTCTCACACTGTCTTAGAAACATGATGTCCATAAGTGGGAACCCAAACTCGGTAGCCCAAGGGAAATATCTGCACTTTATATTAATATCAAGAGATGGTCATCTGCAAAAGTGAAATGAGGTATCTTAGGAGCATGACCAGCAAGCAATGTTGATAGGCTTCCAAAAGGGTGCGTCACAAACCAAATTAGTTGTAATAGCCATCCGTTCTTTAAACCCTTTTTTACTTCCATTGAAGGAAATATCTCCCATGCAATGACAATACTATCACTACTCTGGCGTTGAGGAGTGAAACTGCATAGACGAGGACTAACCTAATTCTCCTTTACTCATATTTTAGTAACAATCTTGTAAGATATTTCCTTTAGTCATATTCTCTACCTTTAGAATTAACGTAATTAGAGTTTCACTTCTCTAATAACCTCACCAACAATCTGTCATTAGAACCCGCACCTTGAACGCACCCATACATCCAATATTTCTTAATTTCTTGATCTCACTCATAATCTCCAACACTACTTAGTTTATTTTGATTAATGATTGGGAACATCCCTGTGACTATAACAAATTTGGACTTTTTTTTGTCTTTTTTTTTTCTTTAGATTTTACTGATTGTGATGTTTGGACATATTTTTAAAAAATATATAGATAGTACGGTAAATAACCTATCACTATATCGTCTTTTACAAGTAAACACATATTTTTTTTTTTATTGTACATCTGTCAAAATTTGCTTTTAGTATATTTTTATTATGAATTTAAAAGTTACAATTAGTAATTCTTAGTTATTTTCATCCAAAAATAACAAATTTCACTCTAACTTAATATATTTTTTTATGGCGTAATTAATATAATATCTCACTCACATAAAATATTATTTTGGTAACTATAATTAATATTCTGGTTTTATTCCTGATTGGTCATTTCTATTAAAGTTTGTCTAGAATATTTTGATCAAGGTCGTTGGTCTCATCAAATTCTAGGTAAGATTGGCTTACGAAGTTTGTTAGTTTTTTGTATTTTTATGAAATAATATTTATTTAGTTAAAAATGTAACATTTGGTTTATTAAAAAGCTTTCTTATAAATTAAAATGTTTCTTATTTAATTAAATATAATATTTTTTTATTAATATCGTTATTATATTATATTTTTCAAAATATAATGCAATTATATTTATTTATTTTTCTTAATTATGAAGTGTGTTAACTTGTTAGATTATTCAAAAATAATTTTTGTATTGTTTAAAGGTTTTTAATAAAAAATTGTAATTTTGTTCTTTATATTTTTTAACATTCATAATTTTGGTTTTTAATCCTCTTCTGTAATTTTAATTATTTATTTATTTATTTTGTTACTTTGAGCATGTTAGTGAGATTGGGGAGAATTTTATATTTACGATGGCTTTTTTTACAGGATTAAATACGTTTGGTGGGACGAAGGAATAAATACCAAAGTATTATGTTATCTATCTATCATTATTATTTATTTTACTTTTTTTACAATCTATTTTTTCTTTCCCTCACCGTGGGAAACCTTATCGACTTAACCACTTCCAATTTGCGGCGATCTGCATGATGCAGTTTGGTAATAAATAGTTTGCCATTCTTCTTCGATTGGATTGTGAGTTTCATCTATATGATGTTTTTGCTGTTTTTAGGTAAACCCTAATCGACGAAAGAGCTTCCGATTCGCGAGGATTTTCCTTCAACCGGGCTGGTAAATGCTCACGATTATGCATAAATTACGATTTGATTTTGTTTCAGTCATTGATTGGAAGAATCTACTCGTATAATTTGCATATGGGGGCATTAGGGGTCGTAATGTGATGTTATAGTCAATACATAAAATAATCAAGAATGATTGTACTTAATCATTCAATGAAAGGATCTAAGTTTTTGGTTTTGTTTTTCTCCTGCTCTGTAATGCTTGTTGCATTGAAATCGCCATGAAAAACAAAATCGACTAAGTGATAAAAAATCTAATCAAACATGACTCGGTAAGCTACAAGCCTAGAACAGAAGAGTGAGGTTAGATGATAATGTTTAGTGCATAAATAAGAGTACTATAACTTGGCATTATGTTTAGAGTGTTATTAGAATTATATTTATCAGTAAGATTATATTTAGAGAGTTGTTAGGATTATAAGAAGCATGTAAAACCTTGCTTACAATGAAATTTGTAATTCCTTAACCATCTTGCTTATGGTGCCAGCGACGACGAGGGTGAATGTTTCAATTTGATTGCCTTCTCTCCTCTCCAGAAAATTGTATCAATTGATGTATGGTTATTGAGTTGTATGTATGAAATTTCACATCCACAGGGGCAGAGAATAGGAAGAAATTTTTAAAGGAAGAAGAAAGAGGTAATAAATACCTAGAATTAGATGTTGTGATCATATAATATATTGACTTAAAAAGTGATTTTTCACTAATGCAATATTCAACTGCAGATACTCAAACGTAATCTTATCTTTACTCACTATACGATGGACATTGATAATGATTTCACATTTTGTCAGGTAACAAGCATGAAAACCATTTTTTATATGTTGATTTTTATTTATATAGCACATATACACTTAACACTTTCTTTTTGTGATGGTACATGAACCTAATGTATTTGGACACCATGTGTGTACAGGTCAGTGCACCTGCTGATCTGGAAACAAACAAGCTTACTTCAGATGTTGCTGGTATTTCCATTAAAGAAGAATCTTCAAATGCAATTTGTACTAGTCAGGATAGTGGTCTTTTTCTGTCCAATGATTCCAACTCGAAGGAGGCTATTGTTGGTTCATTGTCTTTCACCGTAACTAATACAACTTCAAGTCAGCCAAATGAATCCAGTCAATCCACCACATTGGTACCTCCTAGTAAGACTAGCAATTTGTCGATGAAGTTGCCAGAAGAAAAGAATTCTGCTAAGAAGCCGGTTCGGGCCAAAGTTCCCTTTGAAAAAGGCTACAGTCAAATGGACTGGCTTAAGCTCACCCGAACACATCCTGACCTTGCAGGTTCTCATACTGAATTTTTTTTATCACTTGTTTGTTGTACTTTTAAGAATAAGAGGTGATACAATTTCTCAACCTGATCTATCTTGGGCCAGGTTTGAAAGGGCAATCAAACAAGAGACTTATTTCTATGGATGAAGTTAGAAAACACCAAACAGAGGGCCAAATGTGGACTGTATTAAAAGGCCGTGTTTACAATATATCTCCATATATGAAGTTTCACCCTGGAGGTACAGCTATCAACTCAATAGCAAGTGCACATGTAGTCTTTATAGTTCCTTTTACTGGTTTCAGCAAAACTAAAAATTTCTTAAACAATGCTAAGATTAGCAGAAAGTCATATTGCTATAACATGGAAAAATCTTGCAGGTGTTGATATGTTGATGAAGGCAGTAGGAAAAGATTGCACATCTTTATTCAGTATCCTTTTTGTGATTCAATAAGTTTGTGACTTTTCTTCATTTCTGTCTCTTCTCTCTTTTAATTTAATATTATCAATGGATTGTGCTGTTCTCATTCTGATGTTTATTTTTCTGTGAACTGTTCTCTGTGTATGCATTGTGCTGGACATGCTAGTCATTCAAGATAAATGCTTCTAACAAGAGAAATATTATGAATGATGATGAATTTGTAGGTTTCTAGCATGTTTTCTTATATCTGAGCTATGTTCTATTCTATGTGAGGATTTAGAGTTACTCAAAGTTTATATTATCTGGAATTTGAGCTTGCACAAGTTCGTATCCTAGAAATAATTTACCTGTTGGGTGTTGAGATAGTAGTACAAAATAATCCAAGATTTTTTTTTACTTGTCAGTATCATAATATTTGGTTCTTAAAAGTTTTTTGTATATATCATAGTCAAGCAAGTCCTATATAGGTTTTAAGTACTTACAAGGGGGATTATATCATTCCTATTTTATGCTTGTTATTCCTGTTTGCTAGTTTCATGCACATGCTATGTTTCAAGTTGCTTTGCTGCTACGCTGTCCTGGACATGTTCATCTGTTCCCCATAATGCACAAAGTTTCTGTTTTATTAGGATTACTTTCGGCCTTTTCCTTAATTCTTGAATGAGATAAATACCATGCTTGGGTTAATGCCGAATTCTTATTGGAGAAATGCGTTGTGGGTACCTTAGATGAGAGTCAGTGAAAATGATTTTTTCAATATAGAATGCATAAACATATGAAGATTGCCCTGGCTCTACACGGCCCTCTCTATTTGCTGATTAGGGTCCATCAAACCAGGAGAAATAAATTCTATTGGTATTATTGGAAAGCGTGCCTTAATTACGGTCTTGGGGACTGCATTTAAGGAGACTTTGCAACAGTTATACATATTTCTATTTTAAGATCTCACTGGTAGTTTGTTCTACAATTACAGTTCATGTAAACTAGAAATTTAGATTAACAATGTAATATTTCAGTCCTGATTGTTGTCTCTGTTCATTCTGTTTGTTTCATTTCCATTTTCTTTGGGTATTACCATTTCTAATACTTTAGATTAAGAAGATAAATTATAACCTGTCGTAACGAGAAAATAACCCCTTGAACTTCTGGAATTGTACTTAAGAGGGAAAATTCGATGTGAAATAGGATGTGTTTGATTTCTATTTTTATAATTTGTTTTTAGATTGTAAAACGTAACTAAACACTGCTTAAACAATTAGTGGAGGGTGGTGCAAGCAGAGTGTAAAATTGAGGGAGAGATTGATTAAGATGGCAACACAAAAGATGAAAAAAATTGTTTTAGTTGTTTCTGCCTTTTAGTTTAGCATACACTTTTTTTTTTTAATTATTTTATAGTTTAATAGATTTTGGATGAAAAATTCATCTCAGTAGTGTAGAACTGTTTTCAGAAACAAAGAGTGAAGAGATAATCGAAGAAACCTTCAGACTTCTGTTTAGTTAGTGGCAGCTTGTATATCGAATACACTGAAAATATTTATTACTAAGTAGTGTTACTGAGTTATTTTCCTCTTGCACACAAACATTATTGGTCAAATGGAAAGGTAAATCCGTAATGTGAAACTTTTATTGTGGAAAGGTAAATCCTTAGTCTCTTCTTTTCCCTTTCTTCCTCTACTTTCTCGATTTTTTTTTTACCAACACATAGATACCTTCCCAAACACCTTCGAAAGCAACTTTCCCAAAAGATAATTAGTTACAAAGTTCTTGGAGAATCTCCTCCAAGAAGCTACCGCGGCCACACCCACACCCCTCAAACCTCAAGAAAATTCTTCTATGGTATTCACGCAAGCAAGACGAAGCCAATGTATATCTCTTCCCTCACAAAGCTTCTGCATGCCATCTTTTGTTCTTGTCCACAAGAACCTTTAGATACCTTACCTTGTTAAACCGTGACATACCTATGTTTCAAACATCAGGTGTATTGCCTAACACAAACGACCCTTGAAACTAGCCAAAAGCCCCTTCCAGCGCAAGGTGCCAATGAAGGGACTAGGCATGGCAACGGGTCGCCCCCGCCCCACATTTTTAATCATCCCCGCCCCGATTCCTGCAGGGTTAAATTAAGTCCTCATCCCCGTCCTGCTTGGGTTTCGGTTCTCTGTCTCTGCTTCGTCCCGATTTATATTATTTTTAAAAAGATAATTATATTTATAATAAATTAATTTTACTATGTATTTTTATATATAAATAAATATTTATAATTTATAGTTATTATTAATTAAATATACATTTTAATTTATTATATTTATATTAAAATATATATGTAAAAGAAATATTTAATTATTTTTTATTTATATATATATATATATATCTAATATTTATAACATTATTATTATTATTATTATAACACTATATTCAAATATTTGAATATTTATAACATTATTATTATAATACTGTATTCAAATATTTAATTATACATATAAGTTAATTCATTTTTAAGTTGTCAATATATAGTTTATAAGAAAATATTTAATAAGTTAATGCTTATTTAATTAGTTTGAAGTAATAAAAGTTTAAATTATTAATTTCTTTCAATCCTTTAAAATGCAATTATTTTATTATAAAATTTGATATATGATAAATAAGCATAATAAGATAAAAAAAATATGACATAATAAATATAAATTATAAATAAACTAATATTAGTTACTACTAAGATTGATGTAAAATATTTAGAAAAAGATAAAGAAAAAAGATTAACTTTGTGTTCATTAAATTGGTTGAAAAAATTGAAAAAAGGAGAGACTAAGAAAATGTGAAAAACTGAAATATAAGAGAGAGAATAATATAATAAATTAATTGATATAAAAGATTGAAAAAGATAAAAAAAATTAAAAAGTGGGTAGAAGAAAAATAAAAATTGGTGAAATATAAAAAAATAACCTTATATGTAATAGAAAAAAAATGAAATATTTTTAAAATATTAATATTTTAAAATTTAAATTTAAATATAAAGTCGGAGCGGGGTCGGGGTGGAGATTGTATTACTCATCCCCGCCCGCCCGACTTTTAAAGCGGGAAACCCGAACCCGACCCGCCTCCGGTCAACTCGGGTTTCCCAGTCAAACTCGGGCGGGGACGGGTTTAATTGTCATCCCTAAAAGGGACAGATCCACCCTTCCTCACAAGTAAATAGTACATGAATTAATGATTGTTAAATAATATTTCATCTAGTTTTTTTGTGATTAACAATGAATCAATTTATATTAGTTTGGGTATTTATGTATGATAATATTTAATAATAATAAAATGATTATTGCATTGTAAGATATAAATGACAGTTCTTTTGAAAAATTATCAAAAAGTTTAAATCATACATAAAACAAAATGGAGGGAGTAATTGACAAAAAATTGTAATTATTATTATCTTCAACCATAGAAGTGATAGTTAAAGAGAAAATATAATTTTAAAATTCCAAAAACAAATTCAAAATTTCAACCGTTAAATAGAAACATAAATAAAGTATACACACGTATTCTTGACTCCTATATTAAACATCCCTTCACTTTTTTAAAATTTTAATATACAATGACTTCAAAATGAATATTCTATTAAATGTAAAAGTAAATAAGATAAGAAAAAGTTATACTTCCTATATTATTTTTTATTGACAGTTTTTTTAAATTATTTTTAAATATTTATCATTTGTAAAGTTCAAGATTTTGTAAATTATCTTTTACTTATTATACTCCTTTTTTTAATTATATTTATTGTAGAGGAACAATAATAAATTATTAAGAGTGATTTTGGATGGAAATATAATATTAAAATAATAAATAAAATATTAAAAAAATTACTAAATTTAATAAATGAAAAGTAATACACATGTTAAACATGCTATTAAGAAATAAATTAATACTACATGAGTCCCTCTTCGTGGCTTGAATCAAGTTCTTAGTTCAAATACAAATACAATGTAATGAGAAACTAGCTTACTTGATTAGTTTTTTTTTTTTTTAAAGTACGTATATTTTCTAAATAGTTTTTCAATGTTTAAAAATAAATATATAATAATTAAAAATGATTTTAATTTTCTATTTTTTTTCAAACCTATTCTTATATATTATTATTAAAATATAATTTGGTCTTTATATACGTAAAATAAATTATACTTTATCATAAATAATAAGGTGTATAGATAAAAAGTTAAGATTTATTTATAACTATATATAAAAATTTCCTTTGTAACTAATTTTATATGATCAGAAAAAGAAAAATAAAAGGATATAATTTAAAGGAAAAATAATTATTATGATTTATATATTAAAAAATAATAAAAGTATTAAAGAAAAATATAAAATGTAAGTAATAGAGAAATACGTGTATATTTGAAAAATAAAGAAAAATAAAATTTAAAAAATATTTTAAAAAAATTAATTACGAGGACCATTGCACTACTATAAAATAAAACTTGATAATGAGAATTTGAAATTGCATTCAAAAGTTTTATTTTAATTTATTTTAATTTTAAAATTAAATTAAAACTTTTCTACCATTTAAATGATCAAATTTATCATCAAATCATGTACGAATTATTGTAATTTTTTAGCATGTTCGATTTTTATGAAAGAAAATACAATCTTAATAAACGAAGTAAACAAATGCTTTATTTAAATCAGGCTAACTTTCTATCTCTCTTAAAACTTAAATACCAAAATTAATTATGATGCCATTTGAGAGGTTTCCATTGTACTATATAATCTTGATTAGTTACATCGTTACGATACACTTTGAAACTTTATTCTAAACTCTTTTTTAACTTCGTATAAACATGGTCCTTTTTTATCATATGCAAATATATTCTATTTTTTCACTTTCTACCTCGAAGAATACAAAAAAAAAACATGATATGATAAAAGTGGGAAATTTGTAATGTTATCCAAATATATATATATATATATATATATATATATATATATATATATATATATATATATATATATATATATCTTGAGTCTTTTTTAAATTTCATAAGTATTTGATAAAAAAAGTAACATAAAATTTCTTGCTTTAAATTTTTCTATGACTTTTTAACAATTTCATCACATCTCCTATTTTTAACTTCTCTAAAAGAATTTTGCTGAAAAACTAAGGGGGAAAGATTAAAAAATATATTTTATAGACATCTAATATAAATTTTATACTCAAAAAAGTTTTTTTTTTAAAGAGAAAAAAAAGTAAAAAAAAGTAAATATAATATATGATATGATAAAGAAAAAAAAAACACGTATCATAAGTGTTAACGAGTTAAATAATTTATTATTCTTACAATAATAATTAAAAAGGAAACTCTTTTTCTTGATAATATTGAAAAATAGAACTTTAACCGTCTCACATGTTATGAATAATAAATTATAACGCATTGATATTTTGGCTCTCAAATACAAATAAATTATAACACTTAAGGTTAAGATCTTAGTTGTCTTGTCTCTCTAACTATAGAAGATTAAAATCCTAATAGTTGTACCTATTCAACATAAATATCATTTATACATAATATTATTAAATTAAGAGGGTGAAAAAAATTAAATATATAAATTATTATTTAAGAGTAATATAATGTTGTAGAGAATATTCAAAAATTCAAATTCTATACATTAATGATCTATTCTTTACGTTTCTTTTCCTTTTCTTTAATTTTTTTTTGTTATGTTTCTACATTTCTATTGTACTTCCTTTTTTTTTTTATAATTATCATAGTTTTTTAAAGATCTTTATTTTTAGTTAATGGTTATTTTAAAGCTCGAGTTAAAATTCATTATTTTTTAAATATACTCTTATCCATCAGTTAATATTTAATTAGTTTATAGTGTAGGAATAAAATAGTTAAAATAAAATATTGTAAATATTTTATGACAATTTTTTAAATTTATTTATTTATTTTTGAGAAGATTAATCATTAAAATGTGAATTATAAATTTTTTTAGCGTGTTCACTTTTTATTAAATAAGATACAATCTTAAAAAGATTAAAAAAATGAAAGACTTTACTTATATTTGGCTAACATTTCATCTCTTTCAAAACTTAAATCCCTAAATTGATTATGATATCATTTGAGTTTATTTTTAGAATATAAACTTAATTAGTTATATTGTTACGAAAACCATGAACACCACCACTATGGTTCAAACTTTATTGAAAAGTCATTTAACATTTGATGAAAAAGTATGTTTTTTCACAATTTTAAGGATATAAAATGCAAGTATATTGTACTATTTCACCAAGAATTAAAAAAATCTTAATATGTGATGAAGTGAGATATATTTGATGTTATATGATTTATTTTTTTTATATGAGTTAAAGACTTTTTTTAATTATCATAATTCAATTTATTGTAATTTTATGATTAAAATAAATTATTAATTTCTATCATTGTATTATTAAAAAAAATTCTCTTTATGTACATAAACTTTTTATTATAGCTAGGGTACATGTTTCTAAAGATCTACAAATGAAAATAATAATTGATTCTTTGAAATATTTTCTTAATTGTCTCTTTAAAAATTTATACACAAAGTATATATTTTTTTCTCTCTAAACATATTTTCCATCTCTACAAGAAAAATATTATATAATGATAGAAATTAATGATTATAGTATTTCTGATAAGAAAAATATTATATAATGATTGAAATTAATGATTATAACATTTCTGATAATAAAAATATTATATAATGATCGAAATTAATGATTGTAACATTTCTGTTAGAAATTGTGACTAAAATACCAATTAAATAATTTTAATTATAATATGTTATAACGTATATATATAAACTATTCATTCTAATGATTATTAAAATTAAGAAAAAAATTGTTAATTATACAAAGAATAATAATTATTAAATTAAGATTAACTTTCTGGATAGATTCAAATTCTGTATATACCAAATGTTATTTACTAAAATAGTTTTTATTACAAAGTTTTTTTATTTAAATATTGATATATTTTGAATAATTTACTTGAAGAACAAATGACATGAATCTTAAAAACAAGAATAAGATAAATAAAAAAAATTAAAAGAACCAAATAGAATATGAGAACAACAATGATAGAAAAACAATATTAGTTAATGTTTCACAATATTTAAATTGTAAATCTTTTACAATACATAAGTTTGTCTCATTAACAGATATCAGTTAATTTTAATCATCAAATCAAAATAAAAAAAATAATGTATTCATTTAATTATAAATATATTATACGTAGGTTTTAAACTAACAATATAAAAAAAAACACTGAAAACAATTACACTCTATATTTGATCTAATAGAAAAATATTATCCTATATATATATATATATATATATATATATATATATATATATATATATATATATATATATATATATAAGCGTTTTCAAAAGTTATACTTCATAAAATATATTTTTGAGCTTTTCTTGTGATTGAATATTTTATTTGTTCAATGTTAGCTTATGTATTTTTATTATTAAATTAAAAGTTTAGAATATTTTTTCAAAAAACTTAGACATCACTCAAGATTAATTTGAGTCTAATAAATTTGACGAAAATGTAAAGATTCTATTCTTTACAGTGGACAAATTCTTAGATACTAAAGATCTTACTAAATTATAGTCTAAATAATGTCATTTTATAATAAATTTATATTTCCTTTTTATTAAAATAAAACATAAATGTATTCCTTTCCAAAGTTTATATCAATTTCTTAAATAAAATGTGAAACTTAAAAGGTTTATATATATATATTTTTTGTTTTTCTTTTTTTTTAATTCTTTTTAAAAAATTAATCCTGCTATGTTTAATTAAATACAAGATAATTATATAAAATAATATGATTTTAGTTACGATTTAAAACCATCTAGAGTTTTTTGATTAATGTATTATTTAAATATATATATATATATATATATATATATATATATAACTTCACAAAATTGAAGTAATTTATCTCACTTTGATTCCATTTATTTCTTTTATATATAGAAGGATTTATATATTTTAATTTTTTTAATTATATGATTATTTTTAAATATCTACTTATTAATATATTTGATTAAATAAATTAAAGAGTTGTTGTAATAAATATTAAAATATTCAATTATAATAAATAGTTTAAACTTAATTTATTAATATTCATAATTTAAATTATAATATATTTTTATATTTCATTATTAATTTATCATATTATAAAATTTAAGTTTTAATTTTTAATTTTAATAAATAAATATTTTTTAAGTGGGAGCAACAAAAACTGATTAACAAGTTAAATCTATCAACTCAATTTACACGTGATTCCAGCTCAAGTTAATTATACCTATCCCACTTATATTATATATATATATATATATATATATATATATATATATATATATATATATATATATATATTAAATACCAAGTGAATTTTAAAACATCAGCATTTATTTTCTCATTTAATTTAACACATATATAAACTTGACAATTAATATTTTATTAAATATAAAGGAAAGTATTTAATATATTAATGAAGTGTGAATTTTTGAAGTTATCTGTTACATGCTGATCTTTATTTCCTTCGCACTGAAAAAAAAAAAAATAAAAACCTCCCTACGTTTTCAACCAGCCCATAGTTTTGATTTGCAAACCCAATGCAAGAAGAGACAAAAGATACAGTTAAAAAGTTTATATTAAATTTACTTAATTGCCCTCTCTTTTAAAACAATTTTAAACCCATAATTGATTATGATGATGCCATTGAAGGTCTTTTTGTTCGCATGTGCTGGTTAGTTACATTGTTAACATAACCATAATTTTGAAGGTCACTTTTTTCTTTTCTTCAAAATTATCCTATCTTTCCACAAAATATGATACTTTTTTTCTTCCTCAAATTAAAGTATCAAAACTTAATTTAACTAATCATCTTCGTTCTTTAAACAATCCTAAGATAATTAATAATTTGAAGAGAAATTTATATATATATATATATATATATATATATATATATATTTTAATCCATCAAAATATCTTTTAAAAATAAAATTGATTAAAATTCTTAAGCGAATAATATATAAAAAATAACTTTAAGCATGTTAATATAACGAATCTAAATATATATAAATATTAAAAAAATGATATAATAAAAAATCAAAATTATTATTATTAAATATTCATTATTATTACACAAAGTGTAGTTTTATTCAATTTTTAAGTGATATATAATTGAGTTTTTGAATTCACGAGAAATAGAAACACTAAATTAAATCGAAAATTCTAATAGTTTATCCAATAAGATAAGATAAGTGTTTATGAATAATTACTCTTACAAAAAAAACCATCAAAATGTCGTTTTCTTACACGCGGTGGCAAAAAGTAGAACCTCAATAGTCACGAACCATAATTCTAGAATGTCTATATATGGTTATTTTCCACATTTACCCTTGTTGTATTTCTTCAATATTTGGTCCACATATTATAACTATAAAAACCCCTTGTTCCCCAACATCACATTGAATAAGATATAGTTTGAAGTGGTTTAAGATTAAACAGTAAACCCTATGTTGAAAGCATGGATGAGTCACAGAGCTCCACTGGGAATCCATCATCCATCATGTTCCTCCCCACCAACACTTTTCACCTTTTTCAATGCCACACCATGAACATTGCTTGCAACCCTACCTCCATGAAGGAGGGTCATTCCAACCCCATCACCATCCCCTTCTATGGGATATTGACCCCTTCTTTGGATATACAATCAACCAGAAAAATGATGGATGCTTTACATGCCTGCCAAAGAACCAAAGTCATGTGTGGTTTTTCACAAACAACCATGCTTCCTCCTGCTCCTCCTCCTCCTCCATCTCAACCTTCCTCTTCCAAATCATCATTACCCTTTTCTCTCTTCAATAAATGTGAATTGGTGATGAGTGAATGTCACTTAGACACTAATAAAAAAGTAAATGTGGAAAAAGATACCAACTTTGATAATAATGTCATAATCAAAAGGCCATGGACTCCTGAGGAAGATAGGTATATTTCTCTTTTGTTTTTCTTTTTTTTTCTTGTTAAAAAAATTATGAATTAGTGACATATATTTTTATGTTAGAAAATTATGAATATTTAATTGATTTGAATTTTTGGTTTTTTAGTGCTCTTGTGGAATTGGTGAATCGATTTGGGGCAAAGAAATGGTCGCAAGTTGCAACATTAATACGTGGCAGAACTGGGAAGCAATGTCGAGAAAGATGGAAGAACCATCTTCAGCCAAACATTAGGGTTTCTCTCTTTCGATTCTTATTTCTTATACATTTATATAAACTTGAACGTTAAAATTATTTTTGTGAGAAAATTCATTTTACATTGTATTTACGCGTTTGATAATATAATCATATAACTCTTTCATAACATACCATTTTATTTTATTTTTCAGTTTTTTTTTTAAGTTTATTTTCCACAAATTCTTTCAATAATAACATGCTCATTTAATATTTTTCTCTTTCTCTCAATCTATATTAATGTAAGTGGTGATTGTATATATATATATATATATATATATATATATATATATTCTAATCAAATCATCATATGTTGTTGATAATTCTTTTAGTTATTTTATGTGAAAAAAAACACTAAGACATTTTTTTGTTACATATAATTGCTATTGATTTTAACATAAATATATTTTTGTGCGAAATGAAACACATAGACATGAAATTAACTAGTTCTATTTAAATGGTATTTTTTGCCAATAATTTTTATGGCATATTTTTTATATTTGATTAAATTTAAGTGAGATAATATGATTTACCATTTTTATCAATATTTTACATATATTTAAATAAGTCAAATTATTTTACATTTATATGTAATATTCTGTTGTTGTTTGTACAATTTTTTTATATATATATATATATAAAAATGTAATTTATATGAGGTGCGGTGTTTCTAGCTTAATATTTACTTCTACATCAATACAAAAAAATTAAGAATTAGTTTAAAAATATTTTATAGAATTGTTTTTATTACCATTTTGAAACACAATTACATTTATAACTTTTCTTTAACTTACATGTAATGTTCCATTTATTTTTCTAAATTTACGTGTTTTCTGATACACATTAATTGTTATGTTATGTTTCTTGATCATCTATCATTAGTTTTCCATTTAAATTTGTTATCACTTCATAGTTTAGTGATATCAAGCCCAGTAATTACAAAAGAAAAACTCAAATTTTGATTAAAGATTCGTCCTTCCTTTATGCAGTTTCAATTATATAATCACACTTTCTGTTGTCTGCAAACTAATTCTGCAGAAGGAGTCATGGAGCCTGGAAGAAGACATGATTTTGATCAAAGCCCACCAAGAATTTGGAACTAAATGGTCAAAGATTGCGAAGAGATTGTGTGGTAGGACTGAGAATGCTATCAAGAACCATTGGAATGCCACCAAGAGACGCCAAAACTGCATGGGTCTCAGCAAGAACAACCATGCTCCATGCAAAGGGTCAATACTCCATGCCTATGTTAAATGGGTCACTGCAACTGAACAATCTGCAAAAGTTCTCAAAAAATCCTCAGACAAAAAGAAGTCAAAGGTGTTGAAATACAATTGTGATGAGCTAGCTCTTTTCTCGAGCTAAAGTTTTATGTCTCGTGATGTGGTTTATCAGCATTTCAAGATTTTCTTATCAGAATTTGACTCAACCAAAGATAGGTGAAGTATGAACAAGATAGATAGCTGTTGAAAGAATGATGATGTTGATGATGGAAATATTTACTATGATGCAATGACAACGATGCAATGAAGAGGGATTGGAATAGTCAGATGCAAAATACTTATTGAAGCAAGTGTGTGGTTACAAA